TAATGCACCTTATTCCCATTTCTTGTTGAAAAGAAAGTTGTAACTTATCAGTTTAGGTTGCCTCTTCGATTAAGTTCATATGGGTCACAGGAACTAGGGGTCAAGACCATTTGTGTGTCCTCTTTTTTCCTAAATCTGTTATTATTTTTATTTTATTTTAATTTCCGAGTATTTTCGTGTTTTTCTGTGTTAGATTTACATAAATATACTAGAAACAACATTTGTTTACTATTTACTATCACTAGCTAGTTTACTATCCACAGTGGTCACTAATAATGTGAACTATTGTTTTGAGCAGAATGCAACGTACACAGATTTATCAAACGCCAATTAAGCATACAGTTTGTATATTTAGGAAAACAAATCAGTACAGTTGAAATGCCTGCACAACGAATTACATCTTGTTGTTTCGGTGGTACAAAGAATGACGAGCTATACGTTACATGTTGTGTTGAAGAAGATGTGGAAAAGTTTCCACTAACTGGATCTGTATTCAAAGTGATCGGGCTTTGAGTAAAGGGTTTTCCTTCCTATATATATGCACAGGGTATGAAACATATTCAGCTGTGAAAATTACATTTCAACCATTGTATGTAGACATTGTCTTTTAATGTTGTAGTTTGAAATATAAGCATAAAATAACTTGATTGCCCCAACAAGAAATAAGATAAATAAAAACTTTAAAATAAAAGCAAATCAATACAGTGTTGTCCATACTATAGTCTTTTGACCTATATTGGTTTACTTTTATAAATTTTTACTTGGATGGAGAGTTGTCTCATTGGCACTCATACCACATCTTCATATAACTATTGTTTAGTAATTAAGTTTCTTCACATCGCGGTAGTACAAAGAATGCAACAAATTGTAATAAAATAGCATTGTATCTTTGCCTTTGATTGAAACAGTTTAATTTGTATTCATACACAATACATACTAAAGATTACTCTCTACATACCGTTAATGTAAAATTCACTTGGTTGATATGTCAATTCATATATGGCCCTAAATATTGACATAAATATACATCAAAATGTCCATGCTTCGCTTTCAGAATGTGTAAGCGAACCTTGGACCCACAGGGTCTGTATTTTAATAAGATTGAAATATACCTTTCATAAGCACGAACATGTGTAATACAAGACGGACAATTGTAAGCCGTTGGAAAAGTAAATAAACATCTCGGGAAAGAACTGTTTAGCAGCAATGTTATTGTCCAACTTAAGAGATTAATGTAGATTGTTGCATGTCAAAGGTTATATATTACCAACATTTTCCCCCTCGATATACCCTTGTGGTTAAACGGACTTTAAGAAGTTGGGTTACATTAATCCCTTTTGTACTACTTCATTTGATATTGTAGTCTATATATTTTCAGTAAATGCATTACCGCGGAAACAGAAACTCAAAGCCAACTTTAATGACATTTGTATTCATGTAAGTAGTACTGACAGAGTCAATGTTTCAAACGTTTTCTCCAGACTCGCATAATCATTTTTGTTACTTTTACATAACTACTATTCAAGCAACATGATCAATGCCACTAGTGTAACAGGATCTGTTAACCCTTCCGGAGCATATGAGATCACTTTTTGGTGAGGTTCGTGTTGCTCTTTCATTAGTTTGCTGTGTATAGTGTGTTGAAGTCTATTGTTTATCTAAGAAAACACTGTCAAACATCCAAACATACTATCCACACTGATCTGTGTCCACACTTATTTATCTACAATATAAAATAATTGAAAACCTTAAGAAGTTTTTAGGGTACAATCAGAAATTAATTCGTACAACCGATTAAAACTGACTAATCAGATGACTTATGCTTGAGATTTGAAAAATTAAAAGGGCATTGATATTACTTTAAACACGTAATTAAACAAACCAGAATCCGACAGAACGTCATGTAAATAAGCGATTCACGCAGGTCTATGTCATTGTGATATATAATATAGATTTGGACTACTTTTCACAAAAGTTATTTTATAATTTTTACATTTGCAGGTTGCGTATGTACTTCAGTGGTTTATAACTTGGAAGAAAACTCATGGACAATACAAACAATACATTTAATTTTTATATTATTTTGTAGATGTAGTACATTTTATCATATCCATTCACTATATATTTATAAAGATATATTGTACCATGAGTGGACTTTTAATTTAATAAATGTGGATAGTGTCCACATGTGGACACAGATGATGCCTCCGCTTGCATATCATATAGTTCTAACTGAAGAACGGTAAAAGTGACGCTACCCTAATTTGAACTTGATCTGAGGTTTGTGGTAATAAGCATTGTGTGTAAGTCTCATAACATTTGGTTGAGGCTAACTTAAGTAGAGAACAGAAACTAAAAATTCAGCAAATTTTCTGTTTGTAAACACGCATAACTCTAGAACGGTTGTGTATAAGTTTAATAACATTTGGTTGAGACAAACTAAAGTTAGAGAACGGGAATGCAAAATTCAGCAATTTTTATGTTTATAAAGGGACATAACTCAAGAATGGTAAAAGTGTCGCCACCAAATTTCGTACTTAATCTGTATTATGTAGTAATATGCATTGTGTATAAGTTTCATAACATTTGGTTGAGGCAAACTAAAGTTAGAAAACGGATCTTAGTTTTGTGGTAATATTGTGTATAGGTTTTATAATGTTTGGTTGGAGCAAACTTAAGTTACAGAATGGAAACTAAATATTTTGCAATCTTGAGATTTATAAAGGGGCATAACTCAATAATAGTTAAAGTGACACTACCCAAATTCAACTTGATCTGTGTTTTATCAGTGGAAGTCAAAATTAAACATTGCATTGTATAAAACATTGATTGTAGTTGATTCAACTATAATCATGGACAAAGGAAGATAACTCCAATTTTAAAAATAACTTGATATTAAGAAGAAAATAAAATTTTTTCAATTTTTCCATTTATAAAGGGGCATAACTCTAGAACGGTTAAAGTGACACCACCAAAATTCAAACTTGATCTGTGTTTTGAGGTAATAAGCATTGTGTATAAGTTTCATAACATTTGGTTGAGGCAAACTAAAACTAGATTACAGAAACGAAAAATTCAGCAATTTTTCCATTTGTAAAGGGGCATAACTCTAGAACAGTATAAGTGACGCCACAAAAATTCAAACTTGATCTGTGTTTTGTGGTAATAAGCATTATGTATAAGTTTCATAACATTTGGTTGAGGCAAACTAAAGTAAGAGAACGGAAACTAAAAATTCAGCAATTTTTCCATTTGTAAAGGGGAATAACTCTAGAACTGTAAAAGTGACACCACCAAAATTCAAACTTGATCTGTGTTTTGTGATAATAAGCATTGTGTATAAGTTTCAAACCATTTAGTTGAGGCAAACTCATGTTAGAGAACGGAAACGATAAATTCGGCAATTTTTCTATTTGTAAAGGGGCATAACTCTAGAACGGTAAAAGTGACACCACCAAAATTCAAACTTGATCTGTGTTTTGTGGTAATAAGCATTGTGTATAAGTTTCAAACCATTTAGTTGAGGCAAACTCATGTTAGAGAACGGAAACGATAAATTCGGCAATTTTTCTATTTGTAAAGGGGCATAACTATAGAACGGTAAAAGTGACGCCACTAAAATTCAAACTTGATCTGTGTTTTGTAGTAATAAGCATTGTGTAAAAGTTTCATAACATTTGGTTGAGGCAAACTAAAGTTAGAGAACGGAAACCAATTTTGGGACGTACGTACGTACGTACAGACGGACAAGGGTAAAACTTAATGCCCCTCCGCTACAGCGGGGGCATGAAAATAACTGCACTATAAATATTATATGTTTCTGGGGAACATAACAATCTTCTTTCTTTTGGAGTAAAAACAGGTCAACTCTAATGTCAAAGATGATCAATCAAAAAACGTATTAGGTTAGTTGAGATTTGAAATGAATTATATGTAACTTTCCTGTTTTTACATGAAGATTGTATTTTAATCGGACTTTTAAAGAAAAAGAAAGTCTTCAATAGGTTAGAGACTAAATTCTAATGTTTTTGAAATGAAATGAGATTCAATTCACATTACCAATACAAATGCAAACACAAGACTACATATGTGGGATTTTTTTACAAATATTCCAGCTGCAAATTATGTTTCGTGGACCTGTTTCAGCCTAATTAAAGGACCAGTTCAGTCTCTAACAAGACTAGTAGATCTAGTATCACTGGTAACAAATATTGAAACTATTCTCCCCTATTACCAATGATCGGAACCAACTGCAACGCTTATTTGGATAAACTGTCACAGCTTATATAAAAGGTGATAGGATATACCGCTGGAATAGGTCACATTTTCCAGCTTGAAAATATGTGAATAAGTGGGGGAAACTATCAAAAATATATGATAAGATCAATAAAGTTCCAATAACTTGTATATGAAAAGCCCTGTCATTTTTTTAACAGCCGTAAGTAAACATTACATAAAGAATCTAAGCCTCAAATATATCACTTTTCCAACACCACACGAAACCCAACCAATATGGGAAAAGGTTACATTTTTACTCACGCAATATATGAAAAGGTATACATTTTTAAGATCTAATTTATATGAAACGGGTGGGGTGACAGAATCCTAGCGGCACCCCTATCTATTAAGTATTGAAGTGCCCCCCTCCCCCCCCCCCCCCCCCCGAGATACCAATAGCTGGGGGTCTGGGTGGGGTTTACAGAATAGAGAATAATGGACAAAAGTGCAGAATGAGGACAAACACATTATAGAATAGAGAAAAATAGGCCAAACAAATAAAGAATAGAGAATAATGGGGTGCTAGAATATAAAGAGTATATTGAGCAAAGCATATAAAGGATAGAGAAAAACGACATAAGAAATTAAAGATTACAGAAATTAAGGACTCCAAATCCAGACCCTCATAGCTATACATTTGTATATTTATTTTTAAAATACGAGGTCAAACTTTTTGAACAGACAATACTCGGATATACTTGAACTTCCTTGTTTGGTTTTGTTGCCAAGGAGCAACGATTTAACATGGCGCATGGAAACTATTCTGATATTGAATCAAAATGTGGGATCTGCTTGTCTCCGTATACAGAACCGCGACTTTTGGACTGTTTCCATACTTTTTGCACACCGTGTCTCGAAAAACTGGATGTTCTTGATAACTGTTTGACTTGTCCTTTATGTAGGACTCAAATTTCTATACCAGAAAAAGGGGTAAGTGGTTTAAAATCTTATCCATTCAAGGTTGAACTAACTCACAGTGACAATGAATTAACGGACATTTGCGAATTATGTTCGGAAGAAAATTTTGTGGTTGCTAAATGTCTAGATTGTAGGATAAACTTATGCTTGAACTGTCGTGACTACCACAAGAAACTTAAAACGTCACAGAATCACTCGCTTGAAAACTTGAAATTAGATCAATCGAACAAACATGATGAAGATTCAGTAAACGAATGCGAGGAACATAGAAAAGAGTTGACCATATTTTGCAAAGCCTGTAATATCTTGTTGTGTAGCGAGTGTTCAGAAAAGGCACATGGTTTGCACGATACCCAGAACCTGACGCTGTTGATTGAGACTAGGAAGAAAATTCTACTGGCTAGAACAGCAAGCTTGAAATCGAGAATATCGGTTCTTGGGAACACTGCAGAGTTAGTCAAACAAGAAGAAAATAACTATTACAAACACATTAACATAGTGAAAAAGGATATTATAGCACACACTTCAAGTATGAAAGATGTATTTTGTAATACCGTTGATGTACTGACAAACAAAAGTTTGGCTACAATCGACAAGATTAAAAAGAAAGATGTTAAAGTAATGGACACGTACTTGAATGAGATAGAAAGAGAACAATTGTCATTGGCTGGTCTCATCAAGACATCAGAGGATTTCATCACCAGGTCTCCAGATAAACAAATCATGGAGGATTTTTTTACAGTCGGTAGTCAACTCGACAAAGTCCTGAACAAAACTGTTAATCCTTTGACTTTGCATAAGTTGAAATACGACTGTGAGGAATTCACTGAAGCTACCGTAGAAAAATTGCTTGGAAAGGTTAATACTTATTCGGAGGTAAATGTTGTAACACCTAAATATACACCATTGCCTATTCCTGAACTGTTCACAAAGGTAGAAAATGTACATAGCTTTCAACTTTCACAAAATATCACAGATATTGTTGCCGCAAATAGCGATGATACGTGGATACTCTTGGGGGATTCAGTCAGTCTCTATAATCGCGATGGGATTGTGCGTTCTACTTGTGCATCACCAACTAAAAGCAGAAGAATGCTCAGAAAGTCTGCAGATGAATTATGGTTCTGGACTGGACAGTCGGCAGTGAAGAGAGTAAACACGAAATATCAAGAAGGGTTCAAAGTTCCATTTCAAAACGGATCGGTTGGTTGTTTCATTCAAAATGGGAATTTACTTGTGTATGATCAAGAGGAAAACGTATTCTGTGAAGTATCCGAACAACAAGGTGTTCAAAACAAAATAAAAATCACTGATCCAAAAAATAAACTGCAGAACACTCACAGTTTTACTAGTACAGATATAATAGCTGAAACTAAGAACTCAAATCTTATTATGTCATGGCGCAATGATACCATTGTAATTACTGATAAGCATGGAATAATTCTGAACACATTTACACGATCCAATGCAAGATTCCGAGGTTTAACTGTTGATAATTACGGACATATTTTAGTAGCGGACTGCAACAATGGTGTAATCGATATTTTTTCTGAAAATGGTGTTTTTCTGCGAAACTTGTTGATTAATAGATATGGTGGAAATATATATGAGACTAATCCTATCGCTATTGATAAATGTGGATTTTTGTGGGCGTTTGATAATAGACAAACTATGAAAATTTTTTCATACCATTAAAATGATTGTGTTTTGTTGTATCATATTATCATTGTTTTTGTAAATATTATACTAACTGTAAAAAATCAGAACAAACAGGATGAATAGGGCACAGTTTAACAAAAGACGATCAATGAATTCGATCTTAATTTGCACCTATAAAGCATTTTATCTTACCTCCAATAAACTTCTAGGAATATTATTGGTTAAACGCTAATACGTGGGCCTAGACCTAAAGAATGACTTGGAGAGACATTCAAAACAATGAATAACCAATGCATCAATTTTTTTCACAACTACTTTAGGGCAAAAGAGACAATACAATATATGGACTTAACCATTTGTTCAAGATCCAGAAGTTATTTTTCTATTTATCGGTGCATAATAAGCAAAGATCTTTTAATAACGACATATTAAAGTAAAAAGGAATAAATTTTACACGAAATCTTTTTGTTAAACCAATCATATTGTTAACAATATAAATTTTCATCTTACTGCTAGGAAATGCTATAATGTATTTTTCAACATCAAGTCATGAAGAAATCTCAAAATGATCAAAATAATACATATAACAAAATCCCCAAAACAAATCATGCAAGTGACTACATACATGTTTGGTAGATTTATATAGCTATAAATAATCGTTTGTGTAAGTAAGTCTGTCAAAAACAAGATTACATTTAATAAATGACTATATGAAATGAAAATGATGCAAAACTACTACAATAAGAATTTTTATGTTAAAAGTATTTTGTATCCCGTCCAAAGAAATATATTATCAATTGATTTTTTTCCCCAAAAATATAACCAAAATATTTGAAATACACAATTTTGAGTGTAGAGACAGCAATCATTGAAAATAAAATAAATTCAGTTTTTCTTTAATACAAATGTGTGTCAATAAGTAACTTCCTTAATATTTTAATAAATGTAATTTATAAAATGCTATTTAAGATAACTTTGCATCAACTAACCACTCAATTTTTAACTATAACCTTGAAAACATCTAATACTATATAATAGTACCGGTAGTAAAAACCACTTTATGTATACAGATATTAAAGATATACCAAAAGAATATTTTAAAATTCCACAATTAATAATTTTGTAGAGATATTGCCAGGAAATATACTTGGTTTATTCTATGAGAATAATTAACCTAGAGCAATGTACCGGTACTATTTATGGTCAGTCGAAAAACCTCTTTGAATGACTTTAAAACCAGGTTCAACCCACCATTTTTTTCTTAAAATGTCCTGTACCAAGTCAGGAAAATGGCCATTGCGATATTATAGTTCGTTTCTGTGTGTGTTGCATTTTAGTGTTGAGTTTTTGTTGTGTCGTTGTTCTACTCTTATATTTGATGTGTTTCCCTCAGTTTAAGTTTGTATTCTGGATTTGTTTTTTTCTCAATCGATATTTCGAATAGCGGTATACTACTGTTGCCTTTATTTTCAACCTTTTTTTTTCTCTTTAGTATGGTTCTTATAAAAAAAGACTTGAAAGACAATCACTAAAACAATACAACATTTTTCATTGACAAGTCAATATATGATTCAATCTGGCATGTCTTGTACTTAACATTAAGTACTGATTTCCACACTCAACAATTTTGTTGGACATGACCAGTTATGTTTATGACTTCTTCATACTAGGTTTCAGTTCATCAAAACAAGATCGTAGGAAAATGTGTGGTTTCTTATGAGGATCAAATCCTTCATGGCCCTGAAATTGAATGGCTAATTGTTAATGTGAGTAAATGGAAAACAATAATTGCAATGAAAGAATACTGATCTTAATGCAGTTCTCTTAGTTGTAGGAGTAATAGTTTTTGTACTTTTTTTTTTTTTTATCAAATCAACCAGATCAAAGTTATTCTAATCTAGAAAATTTTGTTTTGTTTTCATTTACAATCCAAAAGCTATTAATTTTAAACAAAATCTTCAAACCAAATTTTTAGCATATTTGACTGTAAACCATTGAAGTCAAATAACTAAAGACAACTCTGAATATATTTAAAAATTGTGATGATTGATGATGAAATAGACATAAGTGTCAGACATGTTATGATATTTTATGGGAATTTATAAAATCTTATAAACAGTATGACAATACTTTCAACTGAGGTCAAAGCTTCTGAGATCCTGCTATAGTTAGCAACAAAAACATGTCACCATAAACTTTCTAATGCATGCTGGGTAGAGATGAATAAACAACTTTATCACATGACTTAATTAACATTACAACATCATTTAGGGATGAACAAATATGTGAATTAAGTCTTTACAGAAGTGTTGTTCATCTAAAGGGTAACAACATTTCATATTCAAAATATGTTGCATCTGTTAATTTCCAAATCATAAAATTATGAAGTTTTAGCAAATCCCTACAGGCAAAGCTGAACTTTTACAACGCAGAAATGAACAATAAATACATGAACACACTATTTTTCCTACGAACCTTTGACCAATCATAACTGGTTGCGTAAGCAAAAACAGTTCCTTGTGAATTGAAGTTACATGCTGTAATTGGCTGATCAAATAGTGCTGATGTCTTCAGTTTAGTTCTGGCATCTTTGTCCCAGAAACTGAACTTACAATCAGAACCCACTGTTGTCAAGGTACCATGAACAGGGTGGAATGATATGTCATTCACCTAAACGAAATAAATGAAACTTTTTTAAATGTGTTATATATATCATGTTCATAGATTTTACCACCAAATGCAATGATACAATAATTTTCCATTAAAGGAAGTGATTGATTTTAAAGTTAAGAAAGTGATAGTTATAAAAATTTGAAATTTGAGAAGTAAGATATAGGTAGTATCATAATAGATCCAGAGATAGAATCTGTTTCTCCTATGGATTTTAGAAAATTTATTTGTAGTTTTGATGTTCTTTCAAACAATCAGAAACATTGTGTTCTTTCTCTGGACATAATCTGGTGGTCTAAAAAGAAACACAAAAAAAAAGTGATCCTTGTATCAAAAACCTAATCATAATAATAGCAGGGAATAAGCTTTACATGGCCGTTACCAATGCTACTGAAAATTTGACTGGGCCCCTAACTTTTTACAGAATATTTCCATATGGTCAATACAAATTTTTCACATTTTGTCAGTTGGGCCCAATGAGTGAAATTTTAAGACTTATTCCCTGAATAGGCATGTGTATCATAATCAGCCATAGTTATTTATGAGGCTTTTGATCAATTAATGCTTCAATGCTATATAAAGACTGAAAACAACAATTTTTATTGACAACATAATTTATCTTTTGGTCCCTTTTGGTCATATAGCTCCCAACATTTTTACATCATAATACATCCCTGAGTTTCAAATGTTTAGGTCTGAGTATTCTGGTTGATTGTAAATCCAGAAAAGTGCTTTGGACGCAACAAAATTTATAAAGTGTGTATTTTTATTTATCTCTGATGTACAAAGTCATAATTTAACCTACAGCATATATATCCTGCATGCATTTATGGCACCATTAGATCTGTGACATTTGAAGGTAAAGTTATCTTTAGGATTTGTTGGGTTGACGTAATGTATTGCTACTCCCTTCAATACTTCCTAATGCGAAACCTGTTGGTGAGTTGATCTTCTTGTCAAGGAATATACTGATGCATCTATGCTAAAACAGCAAGTATTAAAAGTTGTTCAGAATTCTGTAGGTGCTAACTGCATTAAGTGTTGAATAATTAAAATTCAGACTGAAAACTAGTGAATTACATATGTGTGTGTTTAATAAAATTTTCAAGTCATTAATGTCAAATAATTATTTTTTATGAACCAAATTTGTCCTGCTGAAAATTAAATTCTTTTAATATTTAAACTTATACAAAACATGGAGTACTTAGTGAATTTAAGGCAATTATGCTTCATTTGCTTCTGAGAATTTTTAAATAACAAAATAAGAGTTTCTTGTTAGCAACCTGAAATTTCAATAGTTTTTACAGCTAATATTTAATAAATGAATATTGTTACATGTGTTACATGACAACGTAAGACAACCTTTTTTCTGGAAAAATTGGCATGTGTTTTTGTCATTTGGGGAATTTGGTGTTGATGTCAGAGCTTCATAGCTTCTGTTAAAATTAATCCACATCTGTCTATAATTGAAAAAAAATTAATTATGTTGAACTTTAGATATCTTGGTTTTTGTGTGATGTTTGGTTGCTGTCTTATTCATTTAAGCATTACTCTCTTTAGAGTCACAGTAAAAAACAAATAAACCATAACATTAATGAATAAATAAAAATCTTTGCATTAAAATTTGTTACACTTCAGGTTTTCTTGCATGTAAAAGCACATGTCTTTGATTGAAGACTTAACTTTACTTACAATTTACATAAGATACCAGCGGTCAAGCTGTACTGACGCCGTGCATTTCAGTACAGTGACATTCATTGTATTTAGTATAGAACCTTTATTGGAATTACTATTTGTTTTATCTTTTTGGAATATTTACCGTTGAACTTTTATTGTAATTGTTGTGCAGTAAAGCTTAACTTAGGTTTGTTGACTCTAGCCAGTGAGTTACCCCCCGAATTCTTAATATAACAGGAACGACGAAAACCTCTGTTACATTGTTCTCAAATTAACACATATTATAAACATACATAATTATGATTGTTCAAGCTTTCAGACAAAAACATGTCTTAAAGATGCTGACTTTTTCTCTGTAAATAATGGAACGTTCTGTTTAATGTTGTGTTAAAATTGTGATACCAAGGTACTAAATTGTTAATGTTTTGTTTGTATACACCAGTCCAAGTAGGTTGACTTGATCACTGATCATCAGACAGCAAAATTTGCTTTATTGACTCATATTGATTGCTATAAAAACAATTGAAAAATATGTTTGTTTACAAGTGTGGACATAGACGTGTGTTGTCTGATTGGTGAATTTTAATCATGACTTGTGCATTGGTGGATTCTGGTGGGTGCCAGCAGATGTATATGCCACTCTAAAATGTATTGAATATAAATTTTAAAAAAGAAAAAAAAACAATATTTTCTGGTGCGCGAATGTGGGCATTG